CATAAGTTGTGGATACCTGTTTTTCCAGTATGTGTAGGACTTGCTGGGACTGATATTCACAGAAATGTTTGAGCTGCTCTGCTGGTATTGGCCCATGGTGGGGTGAGCCCTGAGGTCCTCAACGGATTCTGACACAGGCTTTGAGCAAGTGCTGGGGCAGGTCTGGTGGGATGTCTGGAGAGGCAGCTTGCAAAGTTGGTGCTTTTGACCAAGGTGTGAATCTAGTTCTTGTCATCTTGATTTTAAGAGGTGATATTGGTGGTAAGGTTAATTTAATAGACATATTTACATGGCAACTGTAGAGATGCCTGTGCGTGCAATGTGCTGTACTGAAGCATCCTTCATTTCAGCTCCCAGCTTTTGGAGAAGGGATGCTCTTTGTCTCCAGGTCCCACGGAGTCACAGTGTGATGCTTGTTGGTTCTGTATTGCTTCATCTGCTGCGTTTTTCTGTGCTGATGTCGTCTTTCCTTCTTTCCTTCAAAGTTCTGTCCAAGTGTCGTTTCAGTACAGTCATTAGCTCAGATACACAGTATGAGTGAGAAAGCTGATTACGAGACGAGGTTCACGGTATCTCTTTGCCTGACACAAGGGGACAAGATGCTTCAAAGAAGCTATTACAAAGCTTGTCAGAAACAGTTTACTTTGAGAAGCTTTTGAACAGAAACATTTCCTTTCTGTGCTCTGCAAGCATTATCTTGGTCATTGGCAGCCTGTTGAAAAGCAACGTGTCACACAGAACGAGGTGTCGTTTCACATAGTGCTTTGAGACTGAAAGCCATTAATGCAAGTCTGAAAATAGGAGAATGTAGGGAAATGGTTTATGATGTGGAAAGAGTATTGCCAGTTACTTTTTGTTTTTAAAAAAGCATGCCAGAAGTTACCATTTAAATCATGAGAGTGGAGCCTGGTGATAAAACCACTGGGCTGCCTGCTAAGCCGTGCCCCAGTGCTTGAACTAAACAACCTCCTGCATGGTGTGTTCTGTAAACTTGGAAGATGGTTGCACAGGTGTCATATAAATGAAAATTTCTGCCCCACTTGAATACCATGAAACAAAGAAAAAGAGATTTGAGTTCCTTGTTTTAATCAGCTCATTGGGCCTCTGTAGGAAAACCAGCCCTTGGGGGCAGCAAGTGCTCTATGTGGACTGAGATAATTTTGCCCTCTTTTCTTGGCAGGACTCTTTTGGGCTGTGTTGAGTGGTGTTAGCCTTGGCTTTCACTGGGAACAGACCTTTCTCCATGAAACTTTTTAACACTCTTTGAGTGGCACTGTCAGAAAGGACGCTGGGTTTGACCCTCAGAGAAACATGATTGCAAATGAGCAAGAATAAGAATTATTGATTCCTGTTCAGCTCAAATCGTGATGAATGCTCGGGTAAAAGCCAGCTGCCAGCCTGGCATGGTTGTTCTGATGTCATCACCTCCTTGTCTTTTCAGACCAGCCCCAGGAAGCCGTGTTCAGCGGTGACCATGTTGAGCACGCAGAGGATGGAGAATGGCAGCGCTCTACTTCAACTACCTCATCTCAGAGTGAGCGGGCAGAGCGACTCTTGCAGAACCAGCACAAGAGCCTGGCCTCTGAGGACACCAAAAAGAAGAGGGCTCAGAAACCGTCTCACATGCGGAGGAACATAAGGTAAGGAGCAGCAGGACAGAAAGAGTTAGGGTCCTATATAGCCTTTTTGGTAAAAATGGAGTCTCTGGACTTTGCTTCTGAGCTACATTTTGCCACTGCTGGCAAACCAGATGGTTTTTCTTTTCCAAAACCTTAGGATTTCACCAGTGGGAGTAGTATGATCTCAGACTAGATATGCTGCATGTGGGTGCAGACTCGTTTGGTATTTCAGAAGAGTGACTATTTGGTTATGGAATATATTGCAAAAATTGCAAACTTGCTGCTGGCTTTTAAGACATGTAATTAGAAACCAGCACCACCATTAAGTGAATATCCAGCTTCACTTATCTTCTGATGAGGTTCCTATTGCAAACAGCCTAAAATATAGTCCTTCCTTCTGCTATCCTGGGTACTTGTTGGCAGGAAGTGACTGGTGACCGAAACATTGGAAATCGGTCTCACCTGAATTTTATAAAGCAGTGATTGCTTGATTGTGTAGGTCACCACATATATTCTGGCACAGGTTGTGAAGTGGTAATTCACTATGAAATGTTGTTCAAGGGGATCTAAAATGCTCAGAAGAGTTGTAATGGAGCAGGAACTCCTGTGGCAGCAACTCTTTTGCCCTGTATGTTATGTGCTGGTGGTCTTTGGTTCATATTTAAGCTTGTACAGATGGATTTTCTTAAAGCCGAAGGAATGAGCATTGAGTAGGCTTTGGAAACTGGGACTTCATTAGGATGGAGGAGATGTCCCTGCAGTGTGGGGGTGGGTGGATTTAAAGGTTAGTTTGAGGGAGCTGTATTTTACCACTGCTTGTACTGCACCTCTCCTCTGGCAAAAGAGCCTTCCTTTCCAGGGCTGCACCTGTGAAACTGAAGGGAGGGAAGAACAACTTTTGGGAGTAATGAAGTTACCTGTAAAAGCAAGGTGCTTTGAGAGCATCCTTTGAAACAATTGTTAAAGCCATTCGAGTTCCTAATTCCTGAGAATACTATGTCAGATGAGAAGAAGGGTGATGACTTTTTGTAGGGGAATTGATGCCTTTTCTTCTCATATATCTTCTTTGCATGACTCTTGCATTTTCTGTTTATAGATGGCATAACAATAAATAACGTCCTTTCACAAAGAGGAACTAGTCTCTGATAACCTAGCTTAGGTATATACTTACCCACTCACATTTTTCCTCTTTTCATTATTTTGCTTCTGTCAGACTTTTGTCTTTCCTTGAGTAATAGTAGTGTTACCTGTAGTTGGGAAGCACAGTCTTGAAATAGCTGTAGAATTTATCTGTAGCTTTTGGCGATGATGTTCCTAGTCTGTGTATCTGACAGTCTACCTGGAGCTTGTCAATCATCTTTTCAGCCGGCCGTACAGCCATCCAGGTTTTTGGAAGAAATTGTTCGAGTGTAACCAAATCGCGTTTCTCTGTTTGCTCCTGTGTTCAGAAAGCTGTTGCGTGAGGACCAACTGGAAGCCGTGACAAAAGCAGCCCAGCAGGAAGAGTTAGAGAGAAGGAAACGGCTAGAGCAGCAGCGGAAGGATTATCCAGCCACTATCCCCACTGGAGTTTCTTCCTGGTAAGCAGTGGGAGATACCAACTGAAGAAAGATTTTTTTATTTTTTTTTTTAAGGATAGAAGCTGAATGAAAAAGAAGGTAGTGCCATAATTGTCTGTGATAGGACAAGGGCTAATGGTTTTAAACTAAAAGAAGGTAGATTCAGACTAGATATAAAGAAGAAATTTTTTACGAGGAGGGTGGTGAAACACTTCAGCAGGTTGCCCAGAGCAGTGGTAGATGCCCCGTCCCTGGAAACATTCAAGGTCAGGATGGACAGGGCTCTGAGCACCCTGATCTACTTGAAGATGTCCCTGCTTATGGTAGGGGGGTTGGACTAGATGACCTTTAAGGTCCTTTCCAACCCAGAGCATTCTATGATTCTACGCTGCGCTTGGACTTCCAAGCATAAACTCTTGAAACAACCGTTCCAGACCACTTGTTGGTTCAGTGTAGTCAGTTCCACTTCTGAGCTAGTTCAGAATCCGGATGCTGTGTCTCCATGGTGAATATTGCCAGGTAGCTTTTGCTGAAGATCTTTTGACAAGTTAATTGTGCGTAAGCAGGATACTGGGACAGGTCTCTCTTGTCTTTCCAAGTGTCATGGAAACTTAAATGAACATACTTGACAGAAATGCCAGGTCCTTGGTCCAGATCATATTTGTACTGTAAATGGTCTTGTAACACATGGGTCTGGTACTAGGGATAGGGGAACAATAAACTGGGTGTACATATATTCATGATGTTAGACTAGGTGCACATATGTTCATGATGTAACCTTGTCCTTTCTTGCATGTTTCAGCAAGCAGTGAAATAACAGGCAGTATAAATGGTTATGTCTTCTGGTGAATATGTCATCTTGCATTGTCTTCTAACCTGGATCATTTCAGTGATCTAGTTCATAGCACAGTCTCTCAGACTGGTGTAAAGGGCAGAGAAGTGCAGTTGAAAGTTGTGTTGGGGGTGAGGAGTTCTTGAGTCGACTTTGCCTCTTGAGAAAGTGTATATTCTCCCTTAAGTGCAAGTGTTCAAAACGTTTTTACATGAGGGGGGAAGGAAAAAGAGCTAATTAAAGCACTTTAACCATTGCGGAGTAGGTTGCAGCCCCAGAACAACATCGTTGCTTGCTGAGTCACTGCAGCCATGCTTATTTGTCCCTGTTAGCTAGCCTCTCTCCCCACATGGCAATACTTAAACATACAAACAAATGGTCTTGATCAGCAAAAGTTGTTTATGGTATGTGGGATATAATTATTACAGTGTCCCCTCTAACAAAGGACAGTTATCATCCCTTCAGCAGTTGGTACTTTCTCTGCTGAATGAAAAACACCTTTTACTTCTGAGATCCCCCCAAAAACAGAATTATGAAAAAAAAAAAAAGGGTCTTCAGCATGTTGCATGGTCAGTGTGCCCCAGCCAGGGCATTCAATCGAGAGGGTGCCGTCAGCAATGGACTATTGTTTCAGTATATTGAGAAAGGAGGAGATTGTGACCCAGGAAGCTGAGTCATACCAGTATTGTAGACAGTGAGAGTCTGTTATGGAAAATTCCAGGGCTAAGTTATTGGAGCAAAAGTGGAAGGAAATACTGTCTGGTTTCTGAACAGTTTTGTCTCCTTCCCCATTATTATGAATTACTTATTGTTTGCAATTTATGTTTGTAGAGGACATCGTTTTCAGAACAGCAGAGGCTACCCAGCTCCCCCCTCAGGTCCTGGCCGAGGAGGTGATCTGCCTAGACAGTACCAGCAGTGGCAGTGAAGATGATGCTAAAGGAAAAAATAGCATTAAAGATGGTAAGTGACCCATTGCCTCAGCCTGGTCTTCTCACAATATGCTGTTTGTTTAGTCACAAGCCTCTTATTTTCATCTAGTCAGGTCTCCAGTAATGAGTTAACTTGAGATATTTGTAGGCCTATTGATTTCCAAATGTATGGCCTTTGAGTCCTAAACTGACATTTGTGACCTGGCCTGTCAGGCACTTTTGCAAACTTGTGTTTATTTCTGTTTTATAAACGTATTTAATTTTGTTTGGTGTTCTGCTGAAAAACGCTTACATGAGATGTGGCATCATCTGCGATGTATGAAAGGAGCATCTGAGTATTCAGATCTGCAACTGAAAGTGGTTTTCACGTCCCTTGTCCCAAATGGATCTAACCTGACTCCTTTATACCACTCTGGTAGAGTACTTCTGCCTGAGTTCCTTGATGATCCTTAGACTTTGTATCAACGGATAAAATGCATGTCTGGGTATGGGAACTAGGAGGACATACGGAGGAGAACATAAAACACTACAGAAACTACCTCATCCTCTGTTTGGATCAGCCCAAATTAATGTTCTCTGAAACACGGGGAAACTCATGGTTTTGTATGCTGGCCTGAGGGGCCTGGTGTGTGCCTGTATTGTGCCTGCTTGTTCACAGTAGGTCATTAGGCCGGTGTGGAATTGCAAAAGGCAGTAGCTTTACTTCCAAGATATGAGGTTTTTTCCCATGCATGATAAACCCCGATGTCAAGTTAACCTTTGCCCTTATTGTCTCCTGTTCTGGGTTACTTTACAGAAGTGATTGAGCTGAGTTCAGGAGAGGATGATGCCCTCCAAATTGTGGACAGCAGTGACTCTGGCAATGAAGACGAGGAGGATGGCAGTGAAGAGAGCAGTGGCTCTCATGTGAATGATGCCTTAAATCAGTCAGATGCTCTGGGGCAAGTCATTGTCAATATCAATCATCCACCAAACGAGGAGGACATTTTCCTGGCTCCCCAGCTTGCACATGCAGTAAAACCTCATCAGGTAGGCATTATTAGCCTTGAAAATGCAATGAATTGAGGAAAGCCTACCTTGTCATCTCAGCAGAACTTCTTTGGTGAGTTCTGTGACCTGTCTGGTTGTGGTGGTGGCAGTTGTGAACAGTGAAATGATAAGGGCAAATTAAAGGAAGGCCCAGGCTATGTATAAATTTCACTGTTGTTATCATCAGACCTTTGTATATTTAGATGAACATTTTCAAAATAAAATTATATTTATAAATGAACTTATCAGCCCCACTTCAGATTCTCTGGCTACAGATGAATTTTGATTTCTTGTTATAGTCTCAGGAAGTTTTATAAGTATCTAAAAATCCTAACTTTCTGAGCCTTCCCTAGATTAGAGTAGGGTAATGAACTTGAAACATCCCCTGTATATTTTCGTGGTTTATGCAATCCTAGTCTGTTTACCATTCTGTAAATGCATACCCATCTTGTTTTTTTTTCTTCTACCATTCTAATACCTTTTCTACTTTTCTCTCTAGATTGGTGGGATCCGATTCCTATATGACAACTTGGTCGAATCCTTGGAGAGATTTAAAACCAGCAGTGGGTTTGGGTGTATTTTAGCACATAGCATGGGCCTGGGCAAGACCATACAGGTCATCTCTTTCTTGGATGTACTGTTTCGGCACACAGAGGCAAAGACTGTTCTTGCCATTGTACCTGTAAGTAGACACGTGAAGGACTGCCTGAGGGACTTTCTTGCACTACTTCTTTCTTTGCATAGAGAAGATTGATTAGTGTCCCATCTCATGTCAAGCTCTATCACACCCTTGCTGCTCTTCTCTCTCTCTCATCCTCTGTGGCCCTGAGCTTGCATGCTGTGGTCTGCTCCTTCTGTCTGAGCACAGCTGGGTGTCATTCCCTATTCTCATTTTTACTCTTAAAATCTCAAGTGACTCATTTGGGTTTTTAATCTTTCCATGGCTAACTTTTTCAGGTGAATACGCTCCAAAACTGGCTAGCAGAATTTAACATGTGGCTCCCAGCACCTGAAAAAATATAACTCCAAAGAGGTCCAGCCCCGCACCTTCAAAGTCCACATCCTGAATGATGAACACAAGTAGGTGCCAGTAAAAACCCTTCTGAGCTCATGGACTGCTTCTTATGGAACTGTTATCAGAATTGCTATTGCAAACTGTTTAGTTTGGGCTAATTCTTTGCCGTTAACTCACAGATCTTTCTTACTCTGTATTCATTGTGGATGCCATCTTTAGGGGAGCATTTTGGTACCTGCGAGAGATTTACTGTCTCTTTCATTCAATAGTTGTATCCTGTACTTCCTTCTCACACTGCTGACGCACTTTTCTGTTCTTCCATGTATGCTGAGATCAGGAACCCAGTTCCAGAGACAGAGCTACTTCTGCAGAGAGGAGCTGAAGTGCTGTGGTTTGTTTCTGGTGGTACACTGCTAGTCTTGGGAGTCCTGAGGCATGTGCCCCTTATACTATGTGTCTCTTGTATTTTAAATGTGGGTTGGGTTTTTTTGCCTGGATTTTTCACACATTTAGAGATTCCTCTACCTGACACTGTGACTTTCTGTGAATTGTGTTGTCTTTGAGGGATTCTGGCAAATTATGCAAAGCCTCCTTGTCCAGAAAGGAGAGATCAGAGATTGCAGTTACAGCCTGGTGTGGAGTGTGTTCTTGACTCGTGGATCTCTGCTTCTTTCTGGGTCGTTTTTTGTGCATGGATCAGGACAGTGTAGTGATCCTAGAGAACTCTCAGTTCATCAGCTATGTTTGTAAACCTATCTATCTGTTTGAAGTCTTTACTTTCTGGGTGGAACGTCCTTTGAATCTGCTGATGCTATTCCAGCCATGTGTTATGGAAATTGGATGGGATCTGGTGTGCTCTGGGAGGATTGAGTGAGGACAGTATCTTGATCTCAACCAATTCTGAGTAGACTGGCAGGGGAGGGATAATTACATCGGAAGAGACAACAACAAGGGATAAACGACTAGACAATAAGAACCACGTACGTTAGCAGCTCATTCTGAAAATGGTTTTTGCAGAGGCAGTCTCTTCAACAGCTCTTTAAAAAGGATGCGCTCAAGTTTGATATGCTTTTGTACATGACAAGCTTCTACAGCTCAATTCCTGTAAGGATTTGTCATTCTCAGCCGTGCTACCCATGGCACATAAAAGGCTTTTTTCTTTTCTTCTGTTCCAGATTGTCTCCTAAAGAAACTTCGCTGTATTCCTCTGTCTGGTTTGATGCAAGAAAGTGCTTTAATTGAACAGGGCTTTTTTCTCAGTGGACTCCAGTCCAGTGGTTTGAACTGAAACTGGAGAGAAAGCTTACATTTTATTTTGTTTGTTTTGTAGGACAACAGCTGCACGTGCAAAGGTGGTGAATGACTGGGTGATAGAGGGTGGTGTGCTGCTGATGGGATATGAGATGTACCGTCTCCTCTCACTGAAGAAGTCCTTTGCTACTGGCAGGAAGAAGAAAACAAAGAAACAAGCTGGCCCTGTCATTATTGACTTGGATGAGGAGGACCGGCAGCAAGAGCTTCTGAAAGGTAAGAGGCCAGTCTTTGAGAGTGTGATCCCGTTGTCCAGCTGACTATCAACTCTTGCAGCACAGGAAAACAACCTATAACTTGCTTTTAGCACTTCTGACATGATCAAACTTTGACAGGCAGGGATTGTGTCTTTGGAGACAGAAGATTATTGAGCTTTGGTTGAGTCTTTCATTTCTTGCAATAGCTGCAAGTAAGCGTGGAAGTCAGTACACCAAACCTGGGGATTTGTCTGTGTGAGATTTGCCAGTCTGATCTGATGCAAGACACCCAACTTGAGGCAATGCGGGTCATTGAGCAGACATCAAGGGACAGTCGTGTCTGGCCATTACCACATTATGCTATATCAGAGCTAGTGTCTAGTCACGTTTTATTTCCTGAATCAGCCTTGCTCTCTGCTGCCCATGAATACTGCTTTTTTTTTTTTCAGAACTACCCCTTTCTTTTTGTGAAGTTGGTGACCATATAAAACCAAAACTTTGTCTTATTCATCTCTAACTAACACTTAATGTTCCTTGTCCTCAGGGATTGAGAAAGCTTTGTCTCGCCCTGGCCCAGATGTGGTTATTTGTGATGAGGGACACCGGATAAAGAACTGCCATGCCAGCACTTCGCAGGCCCTGAAGAACATCCGCTCCCGCCGGCGGGGGGTGCTGACTGGCTACCCGCTCCAGAACAACCTCATTGAGTATTGGTGCATGGTAGACTTTGTCCGACCTGACTTTCTAGGCTCACGGCAGGAATTCAGCAACATGTTTGAGCGCCCTATCCTGAACGGGCAGTGTATTGACAGCACCCCTCAAGATGTCCGTCTCATGAGGTATCGCAGTCATGTCCTGCATAGCCTGCTGGAAGGCTTTGTGCAGCGGTGAGTCCAAAAGGAGTTCTTAACAGCTTAGTCCATGCAAACAGCTCCTTCATCCCAAATTAGCCTGCTTGTTTCCTGAGTTTGTGCAATACAGCTAATCATGCTGCCTTATAGAATCATAAAATAACTTAAGTTGGAAAACTTAAGATCATCGAGTCCAACCATTAACCTAACACTACCAAGTCCACCACTAACTCATGTCTCGAAGTGCCACATCTACATGTCTTTTCAATGCCTCCAGGGATGGTGACTCAACCACTTCCCTGGGCAGCCTATTCCAATGCTTGGCAACCCCTTTGGTGAAGAAATTTTTCCTAATAATGGCCTTGAGGCCATTTCCTCCATCCTTTCTATCACTTGTAACCTGCGAAGAGACCAACAACCACCTCATTACAACATCCTTTCAGGTAGTTGTAGAGGGCAATAAGGTCTCCCCTCGGCCTCCTTTCCTCTAGACTAAAAAGCCCCAGTTCCCTCAGATGGTCCTTACAGGACTTGCTCTCCAGACCCTTCACCAGCTTCGTTGCCCTTCTTTGGACACGTTCCAGCACCTCAATGTCTTTCTTGCAGTGAGGGGCTTAAAACTGAACAGGGGGACAATCGCTTCACTAGTCCTGCTGGCCACACTATTTCTGATACAAGCCAGGATGCTATTGGCCTTCTTGGCTACTTGGGAACACTGCTGGCTCATGTTCAGCCAGCTGTTGACCGACACCCCCAGGTCCTTTTCTGCCAGGCAGCTTTCCAGCCACTCTTCCCCAAGCCTGTAGTGTTGCATGAGGTTGTTATGACCCAAGTGCAGGACCCAGCACTTAGCCTTGTTGAATCTCATACGTTGACCTTGGCCCATTGATCCGGCTTCTTAGGCTTGAGTTTTAAACAGGTACGTTATCTGTCTTTGTGGGAGGATTTAAGCATACAGAGAAAACCACAGAGGAGATTCTTAGGTTAGCAGCTCCATGTTTCTCTTAGAGTCTCTGTCTTGTTCAATCTGTCAACTGCAAAGTGGTCCTTATGGCTCTATTTCACCTTGGGGGTAGAAGTAAAGTTGGTTTGCTTTGATACCACAGACTCTGATAATGGGGAACAACACCTCTAATGGCACCAGAGTGACCTCAAGTTTATTTTGATGTCTTAATAGCTAATTTGGATGTGCACTTCGACATCCTCTACCCAAGGTTCTGAAAGCGTTTCCTGAACCCTCAGTTATGAAAAGTGACAGTGTCTCCACCACTCTGGAAACAATCACGTCGTTTCTCAAATTAGGGTTCTAAGATACTGGACCAGTGATTCGGATGGAGTGTCTTAGTCATTGGCAGAGCTAAAAAGAGACCTTAGGTCTTATTTCTGGTTTTCAACTGCCATGGAAAACAGGACTTTCATCACCCTCTTAACATTCTGACTTGTGCTCGAAGGTTGTAACATTTGAGATCTCTGTAATTGTGCTTACAGTTGGTATTTGGCTGCAGGGAGAGTATCTCAGAAGTGTCGTGCGTTAGAGAAACATGCAACTAGAGGTCTTTCTCCCTGCAGCCAGATGAGCAAGAAGTCAAAATCTGACCCTACAGTCAGCCACAGAGAGATCAGATTGGGAAATTCCCTTCCCTCTGTTTATCTCTCTTTCTTTATTTCCTCCACAGGCGAGGCCACAATGTGCTGAAGGTTCAGCTCCCATCTAAGGAAGAACATGTCATTTTGGTACGTCTGTCAAAGATCCAGCGAGCCCTTTATACGGAGTTCATGAACCGGTTCCGAGACGCAGGCAACAGTGGCTGGCTGGGACTGAACCCCCTCAAAGCTTTCTGTGTCTGTTGTAAGGTAGGTTTTGGCAGGAGCTGCAAAGAAATATTCTAGTATGCAAGGGAAAGGCAGGAATATGAGGGAAAACAGGAGATAAAAGTGTGGTTGGCCAGGCACATCATCTCTCCCCAGAGTGCCCTGCAGTGGCCCAGCAAATTGTTATCCCTGCTTCCAGAACCAGAGTACAGGGATGTTAAATGTCTTGTTCAAATTTGAACAAGAAACCTGCACCCATCAGCTGAACCGATACTGGGCTGATACCTTAAACATTTACCTGCTGCAATGCAAACAAGCAGCTTCCTCTGTGTTTGTGCCGTGTGGGGTGCATAGTGCCCTTCTATTTTGTTCTCAAGGAAAGAACTCTGCAGTTTCAGAATCAGGAGAGCCTTGGTTAAGATGTTTTATACCTTGTGTCATGGCAGAGTCATGTTTTCTGTTTTCACTATCTTAATGCAGCCAGACTGGCTTTCTCTGCAGTGCCTTACAGTTCCATGTGGGGATGGTGTTGAGGTGATCGAAGTATGATTTCTTTGCTTTAAACAGCTGTGGGGGCTTTCAGTCTACAGTCACTGGCAATCAACTGGCCAGGGCAGGCCTAACCACTTTCTTTTCTTACCCTTTCAGATCTGGAACCATCCAGATGTCCTGTATGAAGCTCTGCAAAAGGAGAATCTGGCAAACGAGCAGGATTTGGATGTGGATGACCTTGGCACAGCAAGTACTAATTCCCGCTGCCAGCCTCAGGGAATTAAAGTCAAACCAGAGAGTAATGCTTTGGCATCACCAGTTGGAGAAGCTACCAATAGCAAGTTCCTCCAGAGTGTTGGCTTCAACCCTTTTCAGGAGAGAGCAAATCAGGTCGTTACTTATGAGTGGGTGAGTACCACTGCTGGAGAACTGTTCATTTGGAAACTTAGGATAAACATAGGCTACGTACTTACTCTGAAAGACTGTACCTCTTTTTGTTAGGGCAGTTTTCTGAACTGGAGCAAAGAAAAGACTCTTCTGTTTAAGAGTTGTGGATTTGTCTTATGTTTTCTCTGCCACAGAGCATCTTGATAACCATGTCTGCATGGTGCTGAGTAGGGGGTTTGGGACTCTTATGAGACGGGAGTGCAGGCAGCACTCTTTTATACCATTGCTTTAATCTGACCAAAAAGGCTATGGACTCTGTTATTCTAAAAAAGGTGTTAAGGCAAAGTTTAATCTAGATAAGATCATGGTAAATCTAGTGGGTTGGAGGAGAGGTCTTGAGATAGAGTCATGAGAGGCTGAGAGGATGCTCATTCATCCGTACTCCAAGAAGTTTGTCATTGGAGCTTCTGGAATGGGAGGCAGCAGCAGTAGTTGGGAGTAGCGTTGTCACCTCGATCTGGCTGGATGTGTATAACCTCTCTGCAATGACTTATTTCTCTTGCATTGAGACAGGATTGTTGAACTAAACAGGGAATGAGCAACTCCACCTGTAATAGTATCTCGTTTCTTGGTAGGCCAAAGACATCTTGTGTGATTACCAGACGGGAGTCTTGGAGAACTCACCCAAGATGGTGCTACTGTTCCACCTAATTGAGGAAAGTGTGAAGCTTGGGGACAAGATCTTGGTCTTCAGGTAAGCAAAGCATCAACAGCTGATCCAACAATCACTAAATGCTGGAGTAGTTGGACCCCTCCTGGTACTAGAAGGTTGTTAAATGGAGTGAATGGTGTGGCAGGTCCCCTTTTCTCCTTTGTTGTATTAGATCCTGTTTTTTCCCCATGGATTTTATACTTCTGTCACTGTCAAGTTTACTAGTGAGAGGTGTGCTGCCACAAACAGAGTTTGGCAACTGTCAATGCTATCATGGTTGGGGAAGAGTTCTGATACTCCACTTCTGCTGTGGGAGCTTTCTCCTGAACCGAGATCTTCGTTTTGCAGCCAGAGCTTGTCCACCTTATCTGTCATTGAAGAGTTTTTGGCAAAGAGACCAATGCCGAGTCCTCCAGGCTCAGATGGAGGAGTTCACAACTGGGTCCGAAACATCAACTACTACAGTGAGTGCAGCCAATCCTCCTCTCTCTTGGTGTGACACTGTTTGATCCTCTGTGATGGACCAATTCCTGAAAGTCACCCACCATCTTCTTGTAGTTGTCCCTGGGTGTGAAAATGCTCTTCTGAAGCGTTATTCTGATGAAGTCTCTTTCAGATTGTTCTTACTTTAATTTAGTTGCTTGGGAAGACAATGTCAGTTTGGTAGCAACTAACTGGTAATTTCTAAATCCTCTTTTTGGCACCACTCAGAAGAGGTTAGACATCTTTAACATCTCACTGATGCACTAGTGTTTTTTTAAGTTGTAAAAGATACTTTTTTTACTTCCTGTTTGGCTATTTTCTAGATCTTGCTTCCCAAACCAGATTCACTTGGAATGCGTGCACTGGCTTGGGGCTGTGAATTCCTCCTTCCCCCTTCCACAGCTTTAAATCTTGTTCTGGCATAGGTCGTTGCTTTGTCTGGCTACTTTACAGGCAAGGACTGAGAGGAGTGGTGGATATGGTGTTCCTGATTTTTGCAGAGCTGCCAGAAGCAAGCTGCTGTGCAGGGACAGAGACATGACACCCCCCTGCACTCCTTCAGACCAGTATTCTGTGCTCAGAACCAGACTATGGGGTTTCGCCAAAGGCTTTCACAATTTTGCTTCCTCTTTGTTCCTCAAGCTTCTGGCATATGTGAGGCCTTTGCATCTACAGCTCTTACTTGCTGTCTGTCTTGCCTAATACGGAGCCTTAATGTGCTAGGTTTGTTGTAGCACTCCCCGTCTTGGCCTTGCCAAGCTGGAGCAATGTTTTGCTTGGTCCTTCAGTTGAACAAATCCCAACCTGCCAGCTGCATTGCACCTGCCTGGCTGGGCAAATTAGAGGTACAGTGTGGTCCAGTGGAGGTCCTGGAGTGCATGACTTGAGAAGGACTTAGAATTGGTTGGAAACCAGTGCCAATGCTTAGTGTATGGGAAGTGAGTTTGTTCTGATGGCATTTCTCCAAAATACAGATCTTTTAAATGTGTCCTTAATTTCCTTCTCAGGACTGGATGGCAGCACCTCTGCCTCAGAGAGGGAGCGACTGATTAACCAGTTCAATGACCCCAGCAACACCTCTGTTTGGCTCTTCCTTTTGTCCACACGGTAAGTTGGCTGGAGCAGAAGGGCACAGTGGAGAACTCATGCTGATGCTCTGTATGCATATGGGTTTTCAGTTCTTAAATTCCTTCATAGTGTGCTCTCAAGACTCTATAGGATGATAGTACCATCTGCTTCTGAATTCCCCAGGGGTGCAGGATTTTAGCCTTAGTCCTCTGCAACAACTTAACCCCTGTCTTGGAAGCCAAACATAGGTTCGAAGTTGCCTGTATGAGTGGAGGGAGCTTTCCATAGACACCTCATGGACTCTTGGCTGTGATGGCCATCCTTTCCTAGAAACTTTGAAAATCAGCCAAGGCAGCAATTTGAAATTTGTCTTTAATTTCCAGTGCTGGGTGTTTGGGTGTCAACCTCATTGGAGCAAACAGAGTGGTGGTGTTTGACGCTTCTTGGAATCCATGCCATGATGCCCAGGCCGTGTGCCGAGTGTACCGCTACGGGCAGAAGAAGCCGTGCCACATTTACAGACTGGTTTCTGATTACACCCTTGAGAAGAAGATTTATGACCGACAGATCTCCAAGCAGGGCATGTCAGGTAAGTGTGGGTATGGAGCTCTGCTCTTGGCTTTCGCTCCTTTTGCCTCTTTCAAGTCTTGTTTCTGTGGGTTTCGTAACTTTTTTTTTTTAAGGTTGGAAATCAAACAGCCAAAGAAGTGTCGGACATGTTATCTTAGGGCAATGTTTCATATTTATGAGTTGACAGTGATGTGAGACCCTGTAAGAAACGCAGGGCAGAGCAGTAGGGGTTGTAGAGCTTGCATCCTGCAGCAGGGTTGTGCTACCAGTCCAGTGCACAGCCATTGATCTTCCTTGCCACTCTCTTGGTTACTATAAGAGACTGGGGGCTCGAGCGATGGTCATCCTGTTTTCACCTGTGTCTGGAAACTGTGTCTGTGACATAGTTTAAGACACGCTTTTGCTGTGTCTTAAACTGGACATGTTTAAATAGCTTTGTGCCTCCATTTCTCCTGCAGCAAGAGAGGGAAAGCAGCGACATTAAAATGTATCTCGATACCTTTGACTGATAGTGCTTACTTAGGAGCCAAGAGTAATTAATTCATTCCAGTTCTGACCTGCCCTTGCACCAAAAGTATCTTTTGTGGTGGCTTGTGCCGGCTGTCAAGCTGCTCTTGTAGAGCATACAGCTGAGGGTTGTGGTGACCCAAAAGAGTTCTGCTGCCTGTGTCCTTCTTTGTCTCGAAACCCAACTCCAGAGGCAGCAGCTCAGCGTGATCAGCTCAGTTCGCTGTCTTGCACTCGAGATTGATTCCCCCAACAGCTGGCCTGGCTCCCAGGAGAGTCCTGGATATAGATGTTTTCTCCACGTGCTCCCATTTACCCTGTGAGCAGGAAGGAACGTCTGAGGAAAACTTCTGTGCTCTTGTGAGGGAGAGACTGTGGCTGCTTTTCTGAGCTTTTGACTCGACAGAGTTCTGTAAATTTCAGCACCTGGTTTCTAACTTGAGCCTTTATGGTGGGATTTGTGGGAGGGCACGTACTGATGTGGCTGCAGTTCTGTCCCAGGGACTTGTATGTTTTCAGCCTTGGGATATAAGATGGGACACCATCCATAATTAGCTTCATATTCCTGCATGCCAGGAGCTCAGTGACCTGCACTTCATTGCGGTGCAGTCTGGAGCAGAAGGCATTCGTCAGCCTGAGTTGGTCAAACAGGCTCATCTCCGAGCATGGCTGATGATTTTTCTCTCTGCCCTGATGTTTACAGAAGGCTTCTGAGGATCATGCAGGTTGCAAGGAGGGAGCTCTATTAGGACAGGAGTGTAGGAAGGCAGCAGTACCTATCTCTTCCCTTTTCCAGTCACTCTGTTCCCTCTCTTTTCCAGATCGAGTGGTGGATGATCTGAACCCAGTGCTGAACTTCACCCGACGGGAGGTGGAGAACTTGCTGCATTTTGTGGAGGAGGAATCTGACCCTGCTCAGCTCTCCCTCAATCCAAGCAAGATGAAGGAGTCTGTTCTACAGTTAGCCTGTCTCAAGTATCCTCACCTCATCACCAAGGTAAGACCCACCTGCTTCCTTGCTGGCACAGCACTGCACAGCAGGAGGAGGTTTGGAGGAGTCTGACTGCATGACGGAGACATGGTGGCAAGAAGGACCTATCTGTGTGCTGGTGGGAATAGGTAAAAAATCCTCTAGAGAGGGCCATAAAAGCCCTTCCTTTCCCTGCAATACACATTTAGAGCCATGTCTTCTGTCCTGGACAGATATGGGGCAGGTTGTAGGGCACCCCTTTCTTCAACTTGGTGCTGCATGGGAAGGTGGCAGTAGCATATCCCAGCTTGCTGCCAGCTGTCTTCCTGGGATGGCTTTAAAACAAAGCTGGGACAGCCAGCACTTGGCTGTGTCGTGAAGAGTTTCACTGGTAGGGTGGTGCTGCAGAGTGGGCCTGTGGCCAGGTGCCACGGGGCTCTGGTGACGGTGTGACCTTTCGGCAGGCTCAGCGCTCGCACTCTCAGCCCAGCCTTTGGCTCGTGGGTTTTGCTGTGTGCTCATGGCGAGTGATGGCCTTCACTGGGTGGGCCTAGAGATGGTGAGGGATGGCTTAGCTGACTGTCGCTCTTCAAGCTGAGCCTTGGTCACATCCGCAGCGTTGCCCCACGCGTGCTTCACCATGACCGCCTCTGCCTCCCAACTCCCCGCTTCCCTGCTTCAGCCTGAGTTGGAGACAGCGGAGATGCAGGGACCGGGTGGCTGCCGTTCGGGGCATGTTGGTTCCCTCTTGTGGTGCGTTGGTGTCAAAACCTCAGTGCTCGGGGCTTGCAGGAGCCTTTTCAGCATGAGTCACTGCTGATCGACCGGAAGGAGCACAAGCTGACCAAGGCAGAGAAGAAAGCAGCCAAGAAGAGCTACGAGGAGGAAAAGCGAGCATCCGTCCCCTACACCCGGCCGTCCTACGCACAGTATTACCCAGCCAGTGACCAGAGTCTGACGAGCATCCCTGCCTTTAGCCAGAGGAACTGGTGAGTACCTACCTCTTCCCCTTCTTTCCATGCTGCAGTTATGAAATGAGGGGGCAGAGGATGCTTAGCTCTGTCAGTGAGGACGCTGCACCTTCCTCCCTCCTCTCTCACTAGGCGACCAGCCCTCAAGGGTGAGGACAAGCCAGTGGCAAGCGTCCGCCCAGTTCAATCCACCCCCATTCCTATGATGCCCCGGCATGTGCCCATGGGCAGTGCAGGATCAACCTCAAGTTCCAACCCCGCTGTCAATTTCCCCATCAACTATCTACAGCGAGCCGGTGTCTTTGTGCAGAAGATTGTGACCACCACAGGTGAGTTGCTGGTGCTCACAGTAAGTTGAGTTGTGATGCCCACAGTGAATTGAGGAGCGGGGTGAGTTGTTGGTGCCCACATGGGCTGTGGACAGATGGGCATCAGAGCCACTGATACTGCCTCTGCGTTTGAGTGGTTCCCCTGTACCTGGAGAACTTTCCTTGCAGGTGTGCAAGGGGCATGGGTCTGGCGGGTTGTTGGGAGTGAAGTCCCCGTGAGAGACCTGCAACACTGTCACCAATTGTCCTTGTTGGGAAAGGGGAGATGCTATGCTAGAGCAGCGTGGCTTTTGCTTCCTGGGAGCCTCTGCTGCTCAGAAATAAAACCAGGGCTTGCTTCTACGCAGTGCATAGGAGAGACAACTGCATTGCAAACAAAGGGGTTTGGTGGTGCTCCTGACTGTAGCTGGCCTGTAATTTCACAGACACTGTTGTTCTGTTTCTTCCCCCACTGCTAGATATTGTGATTCCGGGTACAAACACATCCACTGATGTACAGGCAAGAATCAGTGCTGGCGAGAGCATCCACATCATCCGAGGGACGAAAGGTAAGTCTCTCTGTCTTGGTAAGACTTGTGGATAGGGTCCTAGCCCATGCTAATGGGCAAAGAAAAGGATGTAAAAGCATGAATCAGTCCCTTGAGAGGAAAAGAATCAAGAAGGGGAGGAGGTATGGACTTTGCAGCGGCTCTGTTGCAGCCTGTGCTTCGGGTGTGCTGTTGCAGCTGATGCTTCAGGGCTATTGCAGCTGTGGCTGCTCCTGCCTCGGAGAGGAGCTGTTGAACTTTGTGGCTGGGTGACTGATTCTCCCAACACCCACTGCATGTGCTGGGGCAGCCAAACACTTCCTGGTGCTCCCAGAGCAAACTTAGCCCCAAAGCACGAAGTTCCCCATTTCCCACTGGCACTGCACTGGGAGGGGGCGAGCTCCAACCCAGGAAAGCTGAAAGAGTGGAAGTGAGGAGTGAGGAAGGGGGCAAAGTCCCCTGCTGATCTCCCTGCATGATCTGTGGGCTGGCCTTACGCAGCACTGCTGTCCTGTTCGTGCCCAGGCAGCTTAATGGATCCAGGGTCCTGAGACCAGAAACCTTGAATGAAGTTGTTCTGCCTCTATTCCAGGGACGTATATCCGGACCAGCGATGGGCGGATTTTTGCTATCCGGACCACTGGGAAGCCGAAGGGCAATGAAGACCGTCGGACAGCTGCCTCAGGTAGGGGTTTGTGAGTGCTGTGCGGGGCTTGCTCACTTGCTTTCCCACCCGAGTGTCTGGGGCTGTGTTCCCTGGCTGTGTTCCATCACACCTGTGTTCAGACCTGTCCCCGCAATCTCCCCGTGATATCCTCACCTTCCTTTCCACTGTTGCCTCTTGGCCCCCAGGTTTTTCTCCAGGGCTGTCTTTCTAACCTGCTCCATCTCTTTGTTCCCAGGCTCCCAGAGCTCTTCACTGGAGTCCACAAGCAATGGCAGACACAGTGCCTCATCACCGCAGCTCCCCAGCGCGGAGGAGCTCACTCGGCCCATATCCCCCGACAGCCCCGAGATCATCAGCGAGCTGCAGCAGTACGCGGAGGCAGCGGCTGCCCGGGAGTCTCGGCACAGCTCTCCCAG